CCTGCTACATCCAGACCCACAGTGGCTCCAATTGACCGCCTGGCGCTTGAGCGGAGCCTCCTAGAGAGAGACAACTTCTCACAAAGAGTCATTAGGACTCTCCAGGCCTCTAGAAGGCCTACAACTAACAGGATCTATGATTCCACTTGGAAAAATTATTGTGGTTGGTGCAACAGGCAACAACTAGACCCATGCAACATCTCTATCCCAGATATCTTGGACTACCTAGTGGAAGGTCTGGATAGGGGGTTAGCACCCAATACACTTCGTAGACAGGTGGCTGCCCTATCAACCATTCTTACCTACGGCTATTCCGAAACTCTAGCCAGACACCCAGTGGTGCGATCCTTTGTAAAGGGCACATCTAACAGTAGGCCACCTGTGGTACACAGATACCCCTCCTGGGATCTACCCAAGGTCCTACAGGCCATAACCTTACCTCCATTTGAGCCTGTCAGGACCTGTGACCTACAGTACCTAACCCTTAAGGTCGCCTTCTTAGTCGCTGTTACCTCAGCAAGACACATCTCAGAACTAGCAGCCCTCTCAGGGAGGGAGGACCTTTGTACCTTTCACACGGACAGGGTGGTGTTACGTTTGGACCCCTCCTTCGTACCAAAGGTCAATTCCTTATTCCACAGAGCACAGAAGGTGGTACTACCAAACTTTTGCCCCGAACCATCCCATGAACTGGAACGCAAGTGGCACACCTTAGACGTTCACAGAGTTTTAAAACAGTACATCAAGCAAACGGCGCCCTTCCGTAAATCGGAAGCACTTTTTGTCTCCTTCCATTCTCACACAAGAGGTCGGAGAGTCACGGCATCCACAATCGGTAGATGGATTAGAAGATGTATAGCGGAGGCATACAGGGGACAGTCCTTGACGGTCCCCAGATGAATCACTGCACATTCCACGCGCAATGCTGCAACCTCAGCAGCATGGGCAACTCAAGCTTCGATTGAAGAAATATGTAGAGTGGCGACGTGGATATCACCTTCCCCTTTTATAAGACAGTACAAATTAGACAGATTCGCATCTGCGGAGGCCTCCTTTGGCAGGAGGGTACTCCAGTGCATAGTATCAGAGAGTGGGACACAGGCCCAGATTGCATCCCACCTACAAGGACAGTGAGGCTTTGGTATGTCCCATTGGTGGATTCTCCACTCGTCATACTGGAGAAGGGGCGTTGGTCTTATCTGAACGCCTTTTCTCAGTATGACGATGGAGAATCCACTCCCACCCTTGAGGCCAGTCAGGTCCTGTGAGGGGAGAGGATGGAGTCAACACAAGAAAACATAGCCAAACAGCTTTCGCCTCGTTGAGACTGGGAAAGGGAGGTCCCAGGAGGAGAGGCGGAGCAAAATTGGACGACTAGTCTACGGGCAGAAGACGAAATTAACCCATTGGTGGATTCTCCATCGTCATACTGAGAAAAGGCTTCAGGTAAGACCAACGCCCCTTTTACTCTATTCCAAACATTTTTTTTCCTTTTTAGTTATCCATTGGAATTTTCTTAAAATCAATTACATTTAAATATCTAAAACATTTCCTTTATATTGATCATCCCAAACATTTTTGTATTTCTCATATCAAAAAACAAAATAAAAAAGAGAAAAAAAAATACTGTCTTACTTGGAGAGTTCATCCCTCTTAAACTAAAATCTTTCTATTTCTTCAACCATATTCAAACAAGTGTTTAATTTTTAAATATTCCCTCTCATACACCCCATCATCTAATTCCTCAATTCTCACTTTAGCCCTCTTCTTTTGCCAAGCATCTTTCCTAATCAATATATTCCGTTGAATCAAAGAGTCTTTCCATAATCTTGTAAATGTTGTGGATATAGTAGGCAAATCAAACATCATGTCTTTGTAAAAAGATTTTGCCCCTTCATATTCATTGAAGATTTCTCTCATCACCCCTTGTCTCCCCATTTCTTGTGGTACTTCCAACAGCTCAGCAATCCATTTGGCAAATCTATTTCCTTATCCTCAAATTTACTTTGTGGTATTAGAGTACTAGTTACCTTTTCCATGTTCAATGTTTCTTGTACGTCCATCTCCACTTGAGTCTCCACTAGTTTATATTTAGTTGTCTGCTTTACATGATTTCTCTCTCTCTTTTTGTTTTCTGATCATTTAATTGTTGTGATGTTAAATTGAAAATGGATTCATTTAAATTTTCAAATTCATTTTTAATTTCCTCCTGGTTTGAAATTAATATCATTTGCATTTGTTGTAACAGAACATACATTTCCTCCTGGTAAGTGTTTATTTTTTCTTGATACGTTCTTTCTGCAGATCTTTGATGCTCCATAATGACCAAAAATCCTTTCTCTGCCAATCACTTTAAAGTCACAATTTAAAAAATATTTATAATCCAGGAAGGTCAATTTTTTCTAAGTTTTATAGTTCTCACTTTGTAGATAGTCCACAATGTTTTCTTTTCTTTTGTTACAGCTGCTCTTTATTTAATCAAAGCCCTGAAGGTCACAACAGGCTTTTCTTTCTGGGCTGTATATTTAGGGCAGTATTTTCATCCATCACTACAAGTCAGCACCAATCCATCTTTCAATTTTCTGTATTTTTCCTTCCGTAAACTTAACTCACTGCTTCTGTTTACAGGAGAGTGGAACAAAGACACTCCCCCACTTTCGGAGGATTTTTACTTCTGGGGGTTTTTCTTTTTTTTCCAGGAAATCAGTCTGATAGAAGAGAGAGAATCAATATTCTTCAATATAAAATTTTTATTATTTTCCAAAAAAAAAAACATCACAAGTATTACACAATATTATATTATATCCCACCCCCCCGGACTTCCCAAACCAAGTTCCAGGCTAATATTCAAATATAGGTAAACAAATATTAATATCTCTAACTCCACAAACTCTATTTATAAACAATCCATCTCCTCCACATTAATAAAAAAAAGTATACATTTAAGTAATTCAAATACACCAAAGTCTATGCCAATTCAGCAGGTATCACCAGTAACTCTTCCTCTCTATTAAAACATGATTATCATATTTATAGTAATAATATAAGTGCATTTCAATTTCTAAAAAGTATATTCTAACATTTCATCAATCTAGCCCTATAAAAAATCATTTAAACCCTTAATAAAGTTTACA